TTTTTTTTTTTTTTTTTTTTCGGTCACACGTCAGCTGATAGATTTTTTAAAAGTCTAACAACCTGTTGGTGATTAAACCTTCGATTTTTCAGAACTGAAATGATGTCATTATGAACTTAAAACACAGATATCCCCACATCCAGACGTTGCTTTGATGTGCGCTGCAGTCACAGGGCTGAAGTCAGGATCAATTAAACCTGCAGTGAAGAACTTTTGTCTCCCTATTTTTGCAGTAAAAGTCATTATACAATCACTGCTGACGTATGTGGTGTGTATTGCTTTTTTCGTAGACCTCAATCCTTTCTCTTCTTGGATGCTTCATCGGTGTTTCCACCAACGCTCTGGTTGCTGCAGCCTGATGTGTCTCCTCCTTCAACTCTAGCAAACCAAACCTTATGGCTTGATGTAAAACACAACGTTATTGGTGCACCAGTGGGGGAATGGCGCTAAAGACGACTGATTTAAAACTCTGCGATAAGCGTTGTGAATGACATGATGGCTCAGGTGGTAGAGGAAGCCCCATGCGTGGTCGCTCTGCCACTGCCGGCGTGTGAATGGGTGAATAAAGAACACATTATAAAGCACTTTGTAGAAGCCAAGGTTATAGTGTGTGGACAATTTTAACTTGTTTCGCCGAAATATAACAGACATTCATTTATAAAGTTTCACTCTTCAGCTTTAAGACTGAATAAAACAGAAGCCGATGTTTTTGTATGTTTTGTGGCCAATGCAGTCTTTGCCAGTTAATTATATATATATTTATACACATACATAGAGCACAGGGGAAGCTACTAAACAACGGGCTGCAGGTCAGACTGCTTTCACTTGGCCTTGTGCACGTTCTTTCTTACTTATACTTATTAGATATGATTTACTGCCTGTTGCACTCCTGCATCCAGTTTAACCAGGTGTCCACGATAAATGAGCAACTAAGTGTATACAGCAGGGATCTCCAACTCTGGTCCTCATGAGCTACTGTCCTGCAGGTTTCAGACGTTTCCAACACACCTGACTCACATTAATGGATCATTAACAGACTTGTGTAGAACTAGACAACAAGCTGCTGGAGATCCATTAAGGTGAGTTAGGTGTGTTGCAGTACAGAAACATCTAAAACCTGCAGGACAGTAGCTCACGAGGATCGGAGTTGGAGATCCCCGATGTATAAGATGTGTAAGAACTCTGGAAACAGAAGACTTGAAGCTCAGTATCCTCAGTGGTAGCTCCTTCCATGGCTGTGGACCTGATGGTGGATGTTTGTTAATGTTCAGGGCTGGTGGGTCCCAACCAGCCAGAAGAACCACAGTTTCATAACATCTGGGAGTGTTCAGTTCATTGATAAGGATGGAGTCTGGTTCTGGAAGAGGAGCACCAATGGTTCAGGAGGAGAGACATCGTTTACATGTTCTACCACAAATTAAAGAACCAGCTCTGGCTTCAGACGTCAGATATAAAGAACATTTCTACTGATAGCTATACAGTGTTCCTGATTCGTGACAGTAACAGAACCTACTGACACCGATACCAGCTGTACTGGGCTTGGTGGTGACATCATCAAACTCAAAACTTGAAAAAAAAAAAATGTTTTGCCTCAATAAGATCTTATGTTGTGTTTACATGTGTTTATCTTCTTTGCCCGAACGAAGGTCATCTTGGTCACATAAATGTATTATCATGCACTCATTTCAGTCATCTTGCGCACAGCAGACGTCATCACTCTGTATTTTTGTCGACTCATTACGGATGATTTCAGAATCAGATTACATATTTGTGTTGTTTTTACTAGCTTACTCCGTTACCTCGGTCACACAGATTACCATCAAGCATATTATCTGAAGTTTTGCAAGGAACAAGACGGCGTGGTGACCGATTCCTTTAATTCATTTGTACATTTTAAATCAACATCAGAAGGAGTCAAAGCCCAATCGGATCGATTAAATGCTTCTATGACGGGTCCCCTCCACCAGGGGGCAGCTCTGTAAGGCAGTGATCTCAGAGTGGAGCTGTAAGGATTCTCGTTTAGTTTGGAGCAACACCGTCCCCAAACCTCGAAACCGCAGGAGGGAGAAAACATTACTGAACAGGTGCATGGCAGAACATGGAAGCTACGAGTTTCCATGGTTACTGATGGAGTTTAGGTCTAAGAACCTCTTTTAATCATCTTATTCCTCAGCGATCGACAGCAGCAGCTCGTTCCAACGCTAAATCATTACAGTGAAAGAAACAGAGTTTGAACGTGAAGCATTCTTTTGTGACGAAGGTTAATTTTTCTGACTTAAACACAATTTTTCTAGTTTGTTTTGTGACTCTGGGTAAAAACAATCAGGCTGAATTAAGCGTGTGTTATCTTCCTAAGCAGCGAGCAGGCTGACGAACTACATCCAAGGCGAGACGTGGCAAAAAAACAGCCACAAAAACTGCAACGAGCGATGTTGTCATGAGCTTCTAGGTGCTGAAGGTCAAATCATTTAGATGACATGGATGCATCACCTGCTGCTGATCAACAAAAAACGAATTTGTAGGAGTTTGTCGTCTCAAAAACACAAGTAAGCTGTGACCTCCTGCAGCAGAAACTTCCAGACGGTATAGTCGTTTAATTTACCAACACTTTGGCAGTGATTTTCATAAAGAACACATCTCTATGCGTGTAAGGTGACCTGTTGCTGCCAATTCCATCCATCATCGCTAAGGTTACTCTCTGTTAGTCCGTTATTCTGATTCAGACATATTGGGTCAATCAAACTGCTGATAAATCAAAGAGGTGGGATCAGATGTCGAGGTCTGGACATTCAATACAGACGCACACATGGTTGTACAAAGGTAGCACGCGTTATGGTTCCCCAAAGTGCAAATTAAGATGGTAAAGAAAGCCGTTAACAACACAAAGGCATGACAGATCGTCTCTCAGGTTAACAGGAAGACATGTTGGTCACTTCATACAGATTAGCCACATAATCTCATACACAAGTTAGCATCCAGAACTCAGCGTGTGAGCTCTGCCTACAGTGGTCTGTTCATGGAAATACAACACATATGTTTGTAATAAGTGCATCTCTAAGTGCCAAATCTTTGGGCGTAACTGTTCAGGAAACTAAAGAGAAGTGTAATTCAGCACTAGAGAAGAATCACTAGCCGGAGGAAACGTTAGCATTTTCATTAGAAACCGACAAGATAACACCAATAAAACCAGTCTAGCAGTAAAACCGACCTAAACAGTACGGAGGGAATGTACATGACCGAATGTAAACCGTGAGAAGGAGCAGTGCAACTAAAGAAGGTGACATTTGAATGAGAACGTGTACGGGGCAGCAAATTAGTCCAGACCTGCTGAAAGAGATGGTAGAGATGATGAGGTATATGAGTCTGCTTGACCCAGCTGCTCCTCACATCAACACACACACACACACACGCACACACACACACACACACACCTACACACACACAGACACACACACACTTAATCCATCTTCTCCTTGTGCACCAGCTTGGGGGCATCCACAAAGTCTTGGCCATTAAACAGGATGATGGTGGCCGTGATGGCACTGGCCGCCCCCCAGAACATCACGTAGGCTAAGGTCTCCGTCCACGTGTCCCCTACGAGACAGACAGTGATCAGGTGTTACTAACGTAGGGCGGAGGTAAAGAATAAAGAAAAAAGAGGGAATAAGAGACGGCGAGTGACATTCAAAGCAGAAACCAGATAAAAACAAGAGGCAGGACAAACATAAAACACATAAACAGGCTGTGAGCTGCTTCTTTTTAGAGTGACCACAGTGTCAATGTTTTGCATTAATTATGAGCAGGTTTATTTTTCTTAAATTTTTCCCCTCAACTGAAAACCAAACTGTACTGAACCAAACCGTGACTGCGTTACAGCCCTAGTATATGTACACAACTGGTTTTCTCTTTAAAGTTAGTGGGTGCATTTTATATTCAGGTGCCTCAATAGTCTGGAATTTACAGTAATATTTTTAAATTTATTTGCATGAAGGTTGGAGTTACTGGAACCCAAAAATATTTCTCAAAGTTTGTTCTACATGCAGCTTGGAGCTCTGTTTCTAATAAAATATGTTCATAATCTTGTTTTATAGGACACAGAACAGAGATAGATGCTGCTGCTTGTTTGACAGCGACCCTAAAATGGCCCATAAAACACCTTTATGTAGCCTGTCTGCTAACAAATGCTTACAAATTCACAAATATGAACCCCCTACAAAGTTCAATCAATTGTTCACAGGACAAGAATTCAGCAGAACAACACACATGAACGAAGTGTTGGTTGATGAGCAGATCAGCTTACCGGCCATTAGAAGACACACGATACACATGGAGAACGCCACCAGCATGATGATGGGTAGCTGCAAAAAGAACAATCATTTAAAGGATTAGAACGGTCACATGACCTGCTGCTGCTGCTAGTACCATAGAAAACAGAGATATACTGACTGTTAGGAACTTCCAGTCCTTCTGCACACGAAGAGGAGTGGGTCCATCGGACTCATCGACAGCAAAGTTACCCAGGAACAGGTCGATAGAGTCCTGAAAGCAACGCCACACTGTTACTGGACTGATTGTACACACTAAACCAAATATACTTTCAGTTTATATATCACCGTGTTGTGTAGACCGCTTTATACACGTGTGCTCACTGCTGGTTTGCAGGAGAGAAGATTTCTAGATATCAAATCATTTCCTGAACGTATTGTGCTCATATTAATATAGCACAGTCATGACTCGATAATCGACCCTTAACAATCCTAAACCTGCTATCCGACAGGTTTTTAGGAAAAACCAACAGAACCCAGAAAAACAGTCTTAACATAGCGACAGCCTCGGATTCCGACTCCGACATGACATTTAATGTCACCAGTCAGGATAACAGCGTATTATCTGACTGAACAATCCCACAGATTGGCTATGTTCACACTGCAGGACTTGATGCTCAATGAGGATTTCTTTGTGAGTTCCTTCACATTTCCAGTTAAATGCGACTTGTATGTAATCTGCTGTGTGAACTTCATACGACCCAAAAGTGTCCTGCATGCGCAGAAGAGGACACGACGACGTCACACGCAGCGAGCGTGCTCAGTGTTTACGGAAGTAAGCATGGATGGTAACAGTGGAGCGTATCTGCCTGTGTGTTCTGGACACTTCCACCCCGTCAGAGCGCTGCCTCCGGGTGGAAGTGGCCGGAACGTGCACAAGCACACCGTTCAGTTAGGCTGAAATCCAGCGATGCATAGTGTTGTAACAATACACTAGTTATTATAACAACTATGAACAATAATTAACAACTAATGAGCCTTCCAGCATCAAGCCCTCCTTGTATCTGGACCTCCGTCTTGACAATCCAACAGTCTTGCTGTCTGACATAAAAGGTTGTACTTTTAGTGTTGGGTTATTGAGTTACGACTATAAATTCTTTTCATCTCCTGAGTCGGGGGAAGCCTTATGGTTAATTTAGTCTCCTGCATTGTTCTTCAACTGATCTGTGAATATGACATTCAGAGTGGACTGCTCTGGCCCTGCTGTAACACCAACATCATACCTGTCTGAATCCATCAGAGAAGTTGTTTTTGTAGTAGCGGATCATGGAGTTCCAACCGTCCATGAGCAGACCCCACCTGGTCCTCTTCCCCGTTCTGATGGAGAAAATCAGCTCTGATTAAACAGCAGCCATGATACTAGTCGGACGGGCAGTGTGGTGTGTTACAGCACTGTACCTTGTAAAGTCTGTTTTTAAGGCTCCAGTTCCTGCATATTGTACTGCACATGCATTGGCATTGTCAGCCCATGCTGGTTAGAGAGCACAGAGAACATGATGGCACACTCAGAGGCTACAGCTTCTACTGATCACACAACGTATGCATATAGAAGCATGAGCATAGATAAAACCATACCATTCTTGTAGATCTTCTCAAACTCGGCCTGCTCTTCGATACGCTGGCCCACGTTTAGAACCCCCATCCTCTGTGAACACACAGGAAGAAGGCCTGTATTAACATTCAGGGTTCTTAATGTGAGCAGGAGGTCATAAAACCTTTTGGTGTCTTTCCAGAATAGCACACCAAATACAAGACGTATTTCCAGTTGGCTGGACACAGATTTAAACAGATATACTATTCAAAATCTGCCTACTCTGCTTATCTGTTCACCTCTATTTGCTCCATATGTACAGGTGTCAACAGAAGCTTACATCCACCTGTAACGTCCATGTACATCATGGCAGATTACTCCTAGAATTCTTAATTTCCTACGATGGAATTACTGAAACACACGCATCTTCATGCATAGATTTATTCTGGATAGTTATCTGGAAATAGGTTGTGTCAGAAATATATGTACAACTTGAATTACCCGTTTTGGTTATTTAGGAAGTCGTGGCATTCACATGGCTTTTGTGACGTGACCCCTTAACTTCTGGTGAATAATTATGATTGACTACAGCTCATAATCTCTCTGGACTGATTGCAATACCATCAGCCACAAACGTCTAAGGAGCTCAGCACAGATCTGAAGAAGCAAATCACTGACTTGAACAAGTCAGAAAAGTCACTTGGAGCCATTTCAAATCAGCTACAGATCCTAAAGTCAACTGTGCAAACAGTGGCTGTACCTATGAAGAGTCCATCTGTGGGTGAAGATAAACTTGCAAAACTAAAAGCTAGCTGAAGGATGGATCCAGAGGTGACAAAGTTTTGTGAAGCCACTTATTCCAAGGCCAAGAATGAACTTTGAACTCTGCAAATCATAACAGCTACTGAGTTCAAATATCAGCACATCCACAGGACAGCTGAAAATCACTGATGAAGTCCTGACTGAAACCTACCAGCAGCACCTGGGGGCTGTCATTACCTTTGAACCCTACACCATGAACGTATTGTCTGACTATGTTTGCTGCTGTAAGAGTTTGAGCAGCAGTGAGGTCAAAGCACCTGAAGCTGGGACTGTAGTGAGCGCCGGGCCAGCAGGCTCTGGATGACGTTGGTCCTGTCCAAACAGTCCATGCAGTTGCTGCGGAAGACTCCTCGTTGCTGAGCCACGGCTTTTCCTTCAGAGTTCACCATGAAGTAGCTGCACACAGAGAAGAGTCTGAGTACTCCTCCACAACACGCAGCTACACATCAGCCCAGAGCAGCTGGTGAACGTACTTGTATTCGTCTTGCGTCTCTGCGACGGTGTCCACGAGGATTTGGAGACGGTCCCATCTCATGTGGCTGCACTCTTTGTGGAAGTCGAAGGCGATGTAGCTGATGACACAGCAGACAGTGTTAGTGTCCTACAGTCTTATTAAAAGCTGGGGTCCTGATCAAACAGCGGCAGAAAAAGATGCACTCGTGGTACATGAAGTAGAAAAACTAGTGAGTACCAGATGGACTAGACGTGCTTCTCCTGAGCTCCTCTCCATGTTTTAAATTACTCTGTCATTTGCTTAATATTTTCTTGGTTGGTTGCTTTTCTTTTCCGCCCTCATACTTCGATTTGGATTTGAGAAACCAACGACAGACTGTGGAAAAAAGTGGGACAAAGGATCTAACGAGACCGAAGTTCAGCCGCCATTTGAGCTAGCAGACCACTCTACAGCAGCTACAGCAGCGCTAGCGTCATGGGAGGACCCTGATGCAGAGGCTTCAAACACTCGTCTGGCAATACGGAGCATGAACTAAACAATGACCAAGAGACTTGACATGTTAGAAGCACCTGGATTATAGCCACTAAACTGGTTCTCCAACCTGGTTTCAGGGGATGGCAGGTCAGGCAGGAATATACCAAAGTAAGCCTGATGACTCTAACGTCTCTGCCCACTAGTGAACATTTGCTAAATTTGTTTGTTGTAAAATTGTTTTTTTAATTATTCTTTTCAACCACAATTCAAAAGCAACGTCTTATTTCACTCAAGTATAATTTAGCAAATTTTTATTTATTATTGCTTTTTTTTCAGTTTCTAGTTATTTGAGTGACTATCGTGGATCTTTCCTTTTCTTTAATGGAAGAATGAGTAACACCACAGCTGATTATTTACTCAGGGAACATAGAAATCGGAGTGACACTTACTTGAGCATACCATTGTTCATGCCCGTCACCATCTTGGCAAAGGCCTGCTCCAGAGGCTTCTCTGAGCCTTTCTGATTCACCTGGAGGAGAACAGACAGATTGAAGGTCTTCTCAGTGCTTCTATTTGCCCTTTAGGGAACAATAATAATAATAATAAAGGAGTTCTCACCAGATTCAGAATAGTTTGCTTCCCATAGATGAGGAGCTGAGAGTCAAAGTGCCGCTGGAAACCATCCATCTGTACAAAACATGCAACCGATTACTATCAGGTCTTCATCCTTTGTTACAGCTTTAAACAGACACACGTGTACATCTGCTCTTACGTGACTCGGGGTTTTGCTGATTATTGGTTTCGGCTTGTACTTGAGGTTGGGTCTCTGACTCCAGTAGAAGGGCATCGAGCCTCGTGTCTAGGGATGAAAAAAAGCAATGCCTTCACACAAGCTGCACAGAGAGCCGTAGAAACATATGAATGATTCATGAGCCAAACAGTCTTTAACAATACGTTGCAACCTCATACTTGCCTGCACAAATGAAGCCTTTGCTCCTTCGTACAACACTATCTGCTCAGTCTCTACAAAGTTAGCTGCATGACCTTCAGAGTCGATGCCTGTGGATACAGCGAGACAGAAAACAAGCAGGCGTCAGAGTCCCTGAGTGAGGTGGACAACCTCTACCTTCTACTACTGATGAATAGAGTTTACACAATACAAAGCACCAGGGATTAAACTGTATCAGCCGTCAGCTCCTCGGCTCTCCAGTATACAACATGTGACGCCTTCATGATCAGTGCAGTTTAACAAACACATGCTTCAGTGTCGTCTCCTGTGGTTTTTACCTCTAACGTAGTATCTGACACCAGCCCGGAAGCAGCTTCTCCTCGATATGAGGATCCACTCAAAGATCTTCCCATTTATACGACACGGCTTCATGACGATGACTGGACCGGGAGGGTCAAAGAAAAGGCTTTGTTCAGGATCTCATCCCACCTCAGCTCAGAGGGCTGCACTACGAAGCCAGATCAATGGGTTAGCAGGTATGTTGAGCCTAAAGTCAGAGCTTTCAGTGTAACGTAGGCAGCTCTCTTTTAACCTGCTAGATCTCCATGGTAACTGATGCTGTGGAGCTAGATCTCCATGGTAACTGATGCCATGGAGCTAGACCGCCATGGTAACTGTTGGCGTGGAGCTAGATCTCCATGGTAACTGATGCTGCGGAGCTAGATCTCCATGGTAACTGATGCTGTGGAGCTAACCTGGTCGGGAGCAGGTTCTGTTCAGAGTTTAGGATTTAAATCGGCTGGAAGGAAGCGTCTCCCTTTAACCAAAACGTTTCCTGACGGTTCTTCATGAGTGATGCTGATTTTCAGCTGAGGGAATGTGTTATGTCTGGAAATATGTTGAGCTGTGCGTCACTAATATCACCAAATGAAGAAGTCCTGTATCAAACACTGTATGCATCACATTGCCATGGGAACCAGACGTGTATTTAGTTGGTGATGCAGAAATCGCATCAGCATATTTTTATGTTTGGCTCTGATCAGTAACATTGATTTCACTTTGATATGGCCAAAAAAATTAAGTGATATCCTGTATTATGGGAGAGTGTCAGACATAACGCACTTTAATACAATATCATGTTTAAATATTTGAGGTTTGAAATGTTTAATGTGCAGCTGTCAGTTAGAAATAAGCAGCTGCACTGATCGGTAAAATAAATACGTTATCACACGTTTAACAGTTTTCTACCAGCATTCCTGTCTTGCATCATTTGCAGTAGCAGTGCAATAAAAACCTGCATGATGCCCGTGATATCTGGCTGGCGTTTTAGTTTTTGTCGAGCCGCTTCACACAAAGAAATCCTGGCTATGTTGCTTCGTAGTGCAGCCCTCAGGTCAGTGTGGAGTAGATTAAGAAAGACAGTTAATTAAAAAAAAATAAACAAATACGTCAGCGTAAAAGGATACATCCGTGGACAACTGGAATTGCGAACTTGTGAAGCTATGGAGGAATAGTGACAGGTAACGTGATTAAAGTGAACAAACAAACATCCATGCATGACTTACAACAGTCAGAAGTCTTACCTCCGGCTGCCCAGCCAGCTCTCTCAGGAGGTTCCCATTCCACACAAACCTCTGGTCCGCCTGAAAGCAACAACGAGCAGAGTGACACATCAGCACATGACGTATCACAGAGTTCACAGAAACGGACTTTTACAGAAAGTCAAAAAAATTATATATAGATATCACACTGCAAGGAATATACAGAACGTGAAGAATAGCAGATACTTCTTTGGCTTTCTTGCACTCAACAAATCCCCACAAAGAGCAAAACCACCAATATTAGTCTATCTGCATCACTGGCAGCCTGTAGAGTTATTGACTATTATCAGTGTTTTAATCTGTGGTTCCTTGTATACCAGACATGTTCTACCAATGGAAAAGGACACACATAGAGAACCATAACATCACTTCTGCATTAGGGTCTATACGCGCATTTCTGACCAAAAACGCTTGGATTTATTTGAATGTATTTCTGACTTTTTTGCAATGAGTAAATAAATACAGACTAAAGTTTCCTGGATGTTTTACCCTCTCAAACAGACTCATCTCCTGGAAGTCGGGGCTGGTGTTGGCCAGCCGCTGCAGCGTGTGCGTCAGGTCAAAGTCAGTGCAGAAGTAGAAGCCGTCTGTAGTCAGCACATTGTTGAGCATTGACAGGAAGGTCTTATTCTCCTGAGACTGGAGGAGGACAGAAAACAGACTGTTAGTTTGCAGGAAAACTCATGACAGAGTGCTGAGAAAGGCAAACCTCAGTGTTTTACTCTGCTAGGATTCCACTAATCCAACTTTTCCTCTCCAATTACAGTCGTGAACAAATGCTTGAAGACACTTCTAAAGACAATATACATCATGGTAGTCTGCAGTGTCTCCTATAAACCACCTGCTCAGAAGGAAAATAAACAGACACAACTGATAATATTTACTTTAATGGTTCTTGGCCATTTTCACCTCAATTAGGCCCTTCTGGTAGCCATCCACAAGCTCCGGGCAAGTGTCTGTTCGTGTCTCTGATCACCTCTCTTCACAGGATTAGTGTAGTTCAACTTCATTCTTCTTGATTTGTCTTTTTGGAACAACATACAGAACCCAACTTTCTGCCTGATGATTTTAGATTTTCCTGAAGAATGTCGAGGAATCCTCCTTAAAGCACCAGTTCAACTGGCAGCAAAACAGCCCTAAAGCATGATACTGCCATCGCCATGCTTGAAGGTAGGTAAGGTGTTCTTGGGGATAAAGGCCTCACCTTCTTTTCTCAGAAACATATATCAAATCAAACCAAATCTATCGTCACCTTGCTGTACATACACAGCAGTACAGGATCCAATAACTTAAAGCAAATTAAATAAACAAGTGTTTGCACATCTGGATCAGCAGGTCAGCATTCTGACAGCTGGTGGAATGAAGCTGTTGATCAGTCTGGAGATTCTTCCTTTAACGCGAAATGTTTTCCTGATGGCAGCAGTTCAAACAGTTCATGGAGAGGGTGTGAGGAGTCCCTGATGATGTTCAGGTATCTGTCTGTTTGCCCTAAATCTGTCCATTGTGGTCAAATAGCTAACATTTTTCTTCCATCTGACCCCAAAACTTTCCTCCAGAAGGTCTTTTCTTTGTCCCTGTGATCAGCAGCAGACTTGAGTTGAGCCTTAAGGTGCTCCTTTGCAGGAAACCTCTCAGCCCACGGCAACGTAAAATATTTCTGACACCTGAGTTCCAGCAGCTTCTAATTCACTGTAGACAGACTTTTTGCCGATTCTTGGTGAACTCCTGACCATCCTGATCAGCTGTCTTTAAGTAGAGGGTGATGGTTTTGTCACTTTACAAGAGGACCTAAAATGAATAAAGATGGGTTTTTTTGTGACAAAGACAACATGTTTCACAGGAGACTAAGAGTTGTAGGAGTCATTGGAAACTCACGACTGCCCTGATGTACACGGTCTTTACAAGTGTGTGTGAGCTTTTGTTCACGACTGTAACTCTATCTAGCATCTCCTGATATCAAATCCCACTCTGATGCCAAATCTCCCTTTCATGCCCAGCTCTGTATACCACACTGGATGTGCCGTTTTGTAAAGTGACGTGAACCTGAGCGTTTTTATGGCACAACAAACGGATTCCTTACAGGTAAAAACATAACAATAGAGACACCAGAGTTGGCCATGAAGCTACTGTTCAGGGCTTGTAATAATGAATGTCAAAAATATTTTTTTGCACACGTGAATCAATTTTAAAAATTGTACAAGATGAGAAAATCAATTGACCTGACCTGGATTTCTGACAGATGCAGCACCGTCTTCTTATAGGAGATCACATCGAAGTCCACAGCCTTCCACACAGCGTGGCCCAGGAGGCTGCCCACGTTCCTCTTCCGGGTGATGACGATCAGGTACATTCCTGTTTGGTGAACGTGGTCAGTCTGGACAGTTGCTTAACTGAGCAACAGTAAGCTGCGTAACCGTGGAACCTACCTGCTACCAGCCGAATAGTTCCCATGATGCCGCATATGGGCTTGGTGACTGCTGAGGGAGGAACATCCTTCTTACCTGTGAAGGCACAACAATGAAGAAAATGTTGGGTGTTCTACGAAATAAGTGAAAATATAAGTGAACTGTCCTGGTTCATCTGAATTCTTAACTTTCTGCTTTTCTAATTAACCTACTGTAATGTCCGGACTATAAGCAGATCCCGTCTTAAACCAATACGTAGTGTAGCCTTAGCCTTTATGCTATGCTATGTTTAAAGTCCTGCCATGTGTCTTGATCACAGCCTCAACAGTTCTGCCTCTGTGCAGTCAGTGATGCACGGCGTTTAAACGCTTCCTACCTGTGAGGGTCATTTCATTTGAAACCCTGTCGATGGCCAGCACAGCATCAGCGCCCTCATCACAGGCCTCGATGAAGAACTTCTCAGGGGTTGTGTGCCTTGGAGGGAACATGGAGAGAAACAAGCTGAGCTTTGAGTTTAACAGGAAACATTAAGAACACATTCATCTCTTTTCTTAACTGTTCCAGATTTGATTTGCTCGCAGTCAAGTGACCTGGAAATCTCCCAAGAAGGTCAAACGGTGACCTGCAGGATTTCTGTTTGATTTATTTTAAACATTTGGATGCAGACTAAATCTCAGTCTCACTTTAAAGCTTCATGCACTGCCTTGTAGTCAACTGTGACCTCCACATAGTTGTTAATCTCCCTTATGGGGAACAAATACATGTTACACTAGAGCCACAATCATCTGAAGCACATTTCAACACAAACAGGGCACTGAGGGGCAGCCCATGTCCAGCCACCCCATGATATAAAAGTAAGAACAAAGCCTGGACTGGAACGAACAAACACAAAGTTAACTTGGAGAACATGTTTATCCTATGAAGCCATTTAATTCATGTTGCTAAGAGGGACCAGAGATCACGGCAACAGCGTGACAACACGCCGCTTTAAATCCTCGCAGCACTAAACACAAGCTCCTGCTGAGCCGCCGTGACGTGTGGAGCTCTGGTAGTGGAACAGTCAGCTGCTGTAGCGACACAGCCGCCCTATTGTTTGCCTTACGTAATCCGGACACACTGAACATGCCTGAGCTACTCCAGCAAAACACACAAACCGGGAACACTTTGTAGAGTTTTGTCCTTTTACTACAAACAATGTGTACTTTACAAGACTGCTGCTTTTCTCACCTCATTTTTTTTTTTCACTAAACAACTGAAAGTTTAAATTAAAACTAAAACTTCACTGAAACAGGTCAGATTACTCAGACACCAATATTTAATTTAATCTGGGACTGAAACAACATGAACAGGAGCTGAAGCTCATTTTACTGCTTGCAGCTGTTTGTAGGAATCTTTACAGATGGAAGACAGCAGCAGTATCCGTATGCGCATCTTTAACACCAGAGAGTTGTACCATTCACACACGTGGAACAACAGGTTTGGTGAGGATCTGACAGCCAGTCACACTGTATACTCTTCTTAGCTGTCACACACACACAGTCAACATTTATCAAATCATTTGTTGTACAGCAGCAAACCTCAGTTTGAGTCCTGAGCTCCATCACAGCTGTTTTTACTGTTAGTAGAATAGTATAAATACTATTCTACTAACAGTAAAAACAGCTGTGTTATCTAAATTTAGATAATCATCACACACAGACAGAACGTTTTACTGTTTAGTCTTTCGTTTATCAGCACACTATTATGTATTATACATCACTGGATGAAATGAGTAAGGTCTTTACTATATGAAGGGCTGTGAGATGACATATGCTGTGAACTGGCACTATATGAATAAAATCTCATTGAACTGATGTACTGTTTGGTGTCAGGTGTATAACAAATACTGCACACACACCATGAATCTCTCAGTCACTGTCTGGGTCTAGATATGTCTGCAGCAAAGGGTCGTGAGTGGGAGTCGAACCCACGACTGCTGCGTTGGGGAGCTATAGCTATAGTTCATGGGTTGCCTGCTCAGCTAGGTGAGATACAGGGGCGCCCAGAAGGATGCTCTGTTCAAGTGATGTCGGTCAGTAAACAGTGCCGATGCAGACAGAGCATTCTCACTGTAGGACAGCAGCAGCTCAACTGTATTTGAAGCTACAGACAATGAAACAAACGGCTTGGAAAGGGATAAAACCAGGGGTTGGTTCATTTAGAATCAACTGTCTGCAACATTGTGAATGGAAGCTTGTAAGACCTGTTCTGGGGACATGTGAAACGTTCACTGACCTGCTAACAAGAGGTACAACATTAAAGAGTCTCAAACAGAGCCGTAGCCACGATCAGGAAAAACGCAGAGACAAAGAGTCTTTGCTTTCGTTTCACAATTTACACTGCAGGAACTGCTGCTACTGCTTCACTGTGAAAATAAATGTGTACGGATGTGTATGTATGCAGGTGTGTATTATGTGTGTATATATAATTTTTGTTTTGTTATTACCAGTCCGATGGCGAGTTCTTGCATTGAAATTTCAGCCAAAATGTGCACCAACTGGTGTATATTCTGTTTGACAATAAAGTGCCTATTCGTATTCCTATTCTATTCTATTCTAATATACTCCTTTAGCTGTGATGACATATTTCACTGCACAATGGTCTAAATCCTGTTTCAACACTTTCTCCACAATGTAGGAGGTAAAGAAACAGATCACATCGTTTATATCCGGCCTCAGAAATGAAGGTGTAAGGTGTAGCTACATGGGGCCACCCTTTGCCTACCCTGGGTCACCCTTTAGCTCAGCCCTGGGCCACCCTTTGACTGCACACTTTGGCTACCCAGGGCCACCCTTTGGCTGCCCTGGGGCCACCCTTTGACTGCCCGGGGGCCACCCTTTGGCTCTGCCTGGGGCCACCCTCTGGCTACCTGGGGCCACCCTTTGGCTGCCCTGGGGCCACCCTTTGGCTCTGCCCGGGGTCACCCTTTGGCTCTGCCCGGGGTCACCCTCTGGCTCTGTCCTGGGCCACCCCTTGGCTGCCCTGGGTCACCCTCTGGCTCTGTGCTGCATGTCAGTGCAGCCGCTCGGAAAAGGCCGACATGTTGCAGGTGAAGCCCAGACAGGTAGGACAGGAAGGCTCGCGCTGAGGTGAGGTGTGTGAATGAGGGTGTGTCTGGAAAAGTACAGAGAGCTGTCAGCCTCCACGGAGCTGAAGCTGAACGTCTACAGGCAGCTGAGTGCCAAAGTGAATAACGTGTCATAACCAACCCCTGAACCCATCGGAATGAAAAAACACGACAAAGCCGTAAACAGTGCTCTGCTGCTGAGCTAGGTGAACTTAGTTTCCGTCTCCCTGTCTGCACTGAGCCGCGAGGCCCAACACCGGGCCGGTTACCGACACTGACAGCCCCACGCAGACCTCCTGCCAAGTCCACGTAACGCTGCCGAGCTGCATCGTTCATAATAAATGAGCGCAGAAGGGAACTTGAATGGTTTGTGCTCGACCGGCCGAGCCTGTCAGCAAACTTCAGCCGCTGTGTCACCGCCGACCCTCCCGCTGCTCGTGGACAGGAACCCGTGTTTCTGCTCAGACGTCAGCTAGCCTTTTAACTGAAGTGTTAACAGGAAGAGTTCCGGGGGGGACGCGGTTTGTTATATGAAGGCTACTTACAGATTGTATCTCTCGTAGGCGGTCGCCATCTTCGCTCCGTGTAGCTGACCTTAGTGACGACAGCAGCGAGTGTGTTGCCAGATACGAGCTGTGGAAGGCGTGATGCGGCTTCCGCTTCCAGCCCAACACAACCTGGCGCCCCTGACGGCCATCTTCTTCTTCTTCATGTGTTTTAACGGCAGTTAGCAACCAGCGTATTGGGTGCATTACCGCCACCTACCGGACTGGAGTGTGGAGCAAGTCGGAATAGCACGCAAGTACAGACTTTTTTTTTACATAACTACAGATCACAACCAATACAATATAATACAATTGCAAACACAGACACAGAAATAACCCCTCCTTCCCCCAAAGTAATATAAATAAAAAGAGAAAAAGAAAAAATCATTCACAACAAAAAATGCACAAACACAGTATAGCAACCACAATAGCCAGGGTTTACCAGCGACTGTAGTTTACACATATTCATTAGTTAGGTAAGATCTTTAGATTTAAAAGCACACGGTTTGTTCTGACAGCTTTTCTATTTTTACAGTCTTTAATTGTGGTAGCATCTCGCTGCAGCCCCAAAATCTATATATTTTTATTTTTGTGTTAGATTTTCTTTTCATATTAATACTTTATATTTTATTTTTTTACTTTCCTATTTCTTTTAAGACTTTTGATTGGGAGCATCTGTAACTGAAAGCCATTTCCCTATAGGGGATCAAAAAAGGATTTCTGATTCTGATATAGGAAGAAGTTAAACGATGGGGAAGGAAAAGATTAGTGCACCGAAACACGGAAACTAGATCTGGCTTCAGGGGATCTTTGTACTTCTCTCTTCTTAAAACATAAGTTTAGTATAATTCAAAAGGGCCTGCCTGGTATAAAGTGTCGTAAACAGGCAATATCCACAGCGCCTAAAGAGCATGCGCGGTGAAGGACCCCGTATATAAGGCGTGGCCGGGCTCTGCTGCGGTCTCTGAGCGATGAGTCTTGACGCGGGAAGATGTACGTCCAGAGTCTCCACAATTTGTTAAGAATTCACCTGAAGGTAAAAGCTAAATGTATTTAGCGGCTGCTCTTATAGCGCTGTCCGGGATTATGTAGTCGTGTCTGGGCCGAAGCGGACCGACGGCGGAGTGCGCCGTGGCTCTTTGCGCACCACGTGCCATGGCGAACGGACTGTAATGGAGGCGCACGAGGCTGAGCTGGTTCCTCCTGCAGGCTGCAGAAGAGGAGGTTTCCTCTGGGAGTCTGCAAAACCGAAGACTGTGTGGTCAGGAAACTCCTAGAGTAAGTGCAGGAGAGAAGTTTAACTTTATGAGCATGACTAGAACGAGTGGCCATTTGCTTAGAACGCTTTGTTAAGGATTAAAGGAAATGTGGCTAATCTATTTAGAGTGATGCTAAGACATCTACAAAAGGCCCATGTCACGCTGGGTACCATCACATTTTTAAATATGGACAGGAAATGAGATCCAGCTGGTTCTGCCATAATGTGGAGGCATTGTGTTAAAGTGTTTGTGGGCTACCTATGTGTGAAATGCCACGTGAGTGTTTTCTGCTGCAAACCAGTTTCCCCACGTCAATAAATAAACGTCCATCTATCTACATATGTGTGATCTACTGGTATAGAACGGCTAGTAGCATCCATATGTAGAACAAGCTGCACTTAACTTCTGAAATGGAAATATGGCGCCATTGTTGAGAAATGAATGACTCTAACAAAGTGGTTCATGTGGGTTGAAGGGAAATTTAAAATTCTGCTCACCTTCAGGTCCCACCACAGACTGATGGAGGAAGGACCGGACCAGTGGGAGCTGAGCCTGCAGCTGACGGTGAGTTGAGCTGAATGAATGAAACGCTGTAAACGCCAGTATGCTGCTATGATGATTCATAAGACTAGAGTCTCTGACTACACCATGAAGCTCTTTCACAGTGCACTGAACATGCATACGACTGACCTTCAGTCCAAACGGCACAGATCAAAGCGGATCTTCATACTGTTCTGTCCTCAGCAGGTGTCCTAGACGTGGCCGACCAGACGCAGAGCGCTCTTTCTCGGTAAGCACGGCCTCTAAAGGTTTCTGTTTGTCTCGTATGTGGGATGATGATTTCATAGACTAGAGTCTCTGAGAAACCCATGAAGCTCTTTCACAGTGCACTGACCACAGAACCCAAACCGTGGCGTGTTTAATCCGTTTACTGCAAATCACAGGCCTGAAATCACTGCTGGGGGATTTTTCTGTTGGTAGTTTTTCTTCTGCCCCGACACAAAGCAGACTTTGAGTCGAAACATCACTTCTGGGTGATGTTGACCGCAGACACACGATGGATTACCTTCCTTCAAAGGTCCCTTAATTGCAAAAGCTAATTTTCTAACTTGCCTTTATTCTCATGTAGGCATGCAGATGATTTGTGACTAGAACAGACTACGACTGCCCTCCTTAATACAGTCAAGGTGAAAGGTTAAGAGTGCTTGAAGCCTTGAAAAACTGCCCCAGTTATCCAGGATGTTGACTGAACATACACATCAGGATGTTCTATCAGAGCTTTAGGTGTGATTGCAGTAACTGGGCTAACACATCCAAACACACTGAGGTCACAGAATGTGTCTTTTTGCACAGAAACTCGTCGTAATTGTGTTTTGTTCTTTTTTGTTTTAAAGCTCATCCACACACTAATGGAAGCTGGTGTTTCAGTTCCACATCTGTAAGTACCAACTTCTTTGACATTAAATCCCCATTAGTATAGGTTTGTTTGGTAATAGTCCACCGTGCTCGTTTAGCAGTAAGGAATGAAGGTTTTAAATGCTGGTGTGAGTGTGCCGTCCATCTTAGGAAGGCACTTCTAAAATGGCGTGCACAGGTCTTTGTAGTATTCAACTGTTTATTTAGCAACCTTAACATGGTGCTGTACACAATATTGGACATTAAATCTCATTGAAAAGCTGTTCTCAGTCTGAGTTTGGTCAATGATGATGCTGTTGTTCGGTTCTACTGATATCAATTGAAGATTACTCGCAGCGCACTGAGACGCTCAGACTGTTGGAGCTTCTGTTGAATGTGATGACTGAGGCTTGAGTCCTCTCATGGATCATCCTAACGTTGGTGTGACACTGTGCTCTGACTGTAAAATGCAGAAATCTAAGTGCAGACATGTTGAATGTCCCTCCACAGGTGCAGAGCTTTGGGATTTCCAACCGGTCCAAGCTTTCCAGATCGTCGGTATCAAGACATCCGAGTAACGAAAGGGTTGGAAGGAAGCATCCTCACCACTGCCATCATGTGTTTGGCTTCTAGAAGAAAACTTGTCAGTATGCAAAGATGCCTGGTGCTTTTTACATCAGCTAAGGTTATGTTTTCATTCATGTTTAAGCAAACTACAGGCTCTGTTTTTGTTTAGACAGTTGGAGCAAATGAAGACCATACATGTTGGTTTAGGTTTGGTTTGAATCTGCTGAAGAAATTGTACCTGTAGTCCTCCTGTGAAGTTTGCTGTAGTGGGTGTTTATTAGTATTCCGGTATACGCTGGGCTCACCAACATGAGTCTGTGATGGTGAACCGACCCGAACATCTGCAGAGTCGCACATTTATAGGGTGTGTCAGAGGGTGGGGGGGCTGCATGTAAATACAGAAGTGAATCATGGCTGGTTAACATACAGTTACTAATCAAATGGCAGGAGGTAAAGGGACAATGAACAACAGGGGATGGAATCAGGGGTCTGTGACCATCAAAATAAAAGAAAATGACTTTCTTCATCACATCTCCGCAGGTCTGGGCTCTGAGTGTCTCTCTAACCCTTTGTGTCTGGTCTTGTTGGTTAAAAAACAAGTAAAATACACAAAATGTTGACCCCAAAATGTTTTAAGGGTTTTAACTACTTGTATGTGGATGTATCTGGACTTTTGTAATAAATTGCTGCCAACACAATGATGGCATTGTTTGTTTTTATCTTTTATATAGTTTGTTTCTCCATCTCTCTCTAATAGTTTGCAGTGATGTACAGTTTTGGGGTAGTTGTGGATTTGCTGCATTGATTTGACAGCTGTAAGAAAAACGGTCTCTAAAATGTGGACAAATGATTCATGGTTCCTCACCTTCTGTAGGTTTAGCTCTACTTTGTCCACTTGCATTTCCCTGTGTGATGTGACTCACCATGCACGGACTAAACTGCAGGAAGTAGCTGCTAATTCGCTTATATTTATTAAATCAACCTTTACACATGTGTCTATCTGTATATCTGTAAATGCTAAACCCCATATGTACAGTTTCAGACCACTCCCATGTTGTAAAGGTAATAAAGGTACTGGTCTTGTATCTAGAGCTGTAAAATGAGCATTAAAGTGGTTCAGACAGCCGCTTTTCCTCGCTCCGGATTATGTCATGTTCAGGATGGACGTGTCAGGACGAGTCCCATGAAAACTTTATTTTGAAGGTCTAAGCGAGCCGGTAGTTGGTCTTTGTTCTGTAATTAGTGGGTAAACGTTTCAGTCGACATTAGCCTCCTAGCTTGCTAGCGGTACCATCGGTGGTACGTGGCGTCCGGTAGCTTTAGCCGGGAGAGGACTTTCTGCTCCCGGTGGACCAGGACGGGTGAAATACGGCATCCGAAAGTTCTGAAACTTAGTCTGTGTGTCCTGTTGTCTTGTGCTAACAAGCTAGCTAGCCGACTAGCTACGTCCTGACAGAGACTGCCTGACGTCGCCGAAGGTGAGCATTTAGCTTTCCATTAGCTTGAGAGACACCAAGAATTTAAAAAAAATCGATTTACCGAAGTATGTAAACCACAGATCAGCTGGCGCTATTGTTAAACAATCAAAGACCTGTAGGTTAGCAAACAACACCTAGATCTATAGGTTAGCGGACTAGACCTTTGATTAGGTGACTGCATCTGTAGGTTAGGTGACTACATCTGTAGGTTAGCTGACTAGATCAGTAGGTTTGCTGACTGGACCTTTAAGGTTAACTGACTAGCTCTGTAGGTTAGCTGACTAGACCTGTAGGTTAGCTGACAACACCTAGACCTGTAGGTTAGCTGACAACACCTAGA